CGTCCTCTAAGTACAAAATGTATGACGGAGGAGACTCATCCACGACCTCCGACACTAAACTCTCCTCCTCTTGCATGTTTCCGCTGTCCATAGCGTTCCTTGACAGCGTCGTTTCTAAAGGGCAGCTTAGACTTCTGCAACCGCACACATCAAATGTCGCTTGGGTCTGGTCGTGAACCAGTTTTGCTGGTATGCTTCTGCACAGTCGATCTGGAATTTCTAGAGACGCACAGCAGTTTCCCGCATGAGCGCAAGAGGAAGCCTATTAGAGAACTCGTGAGAACTTCGGCGGATGGTCACGAGAAAGGCAAACCAAGAAACCAATCACAGCTGCTTTTTGTCTGTGCACATCCACTTGAGGTCTGCGTGGGTTGGCGACCATCCGACATGTAATCAGGATTTTTTTGAGCACAGAGACAGACTTGACTGGTGCAGAGGCTATGCGTCAGTAGCATACATTGGCCTTTAAGTCACCAATTTAGCGCTACTTGGTCCAAATGTAATTTCCCATTGGGAACCTACTAGCACTAAGTTGCTAACTGGTTAGCAAGATGCCTCTGACAAACCAGCCACAACCAAACATACTTGCGAACCTTCCACCACAACAATCCCGCCCTCTTGAAAAACGACCAATCAAATTCACTTTATTCACTTTTACTCACTTTACTCACTTTATTCACTCATGTAAAGTCAGGGATCACTGGGGAGAATTCGGAAATGCAACGGTTGGGACAGCCATTTCCCTACGACTTTAAACGAAAAAGCAGAACCTTAATAATCAATGTAAAGCAACATGAGCATTATTATTTTTAAATCTGATTTTAGCAGCAGTCTTCTCTGTTTAGACATATTTCTAATGAAATAAAAACAGCCTTGTCAGCTGAAGGGAGCAACCCACTAAGGACATAGAATCACTAAACACGACCCAATGGCTGCCTTTCGCTGACGAGCCCGGAGCAACAAGGTGTGCTTTGATCTGCGGGATCTTTTTTTATCATCATATCACTTTTATCATAGACATTTGCTGGTGCTGGTTTGGGATAAACTTCCCACTTATTGGATACAACCTCTCTGTAATTATAATGGGCTCTGGCCAAGTGTTCATATAGAGATATGATTCTTCAACATACGGTACAAGATGTCAAACTAGAGACAGATTCAGGCGAGCCCAACCTAATCAAGACTGCAGAGATTGCTCCCTTCCATCAATTGAAGTTACTTGAACCCACCGTTTCTCTGGACCTGAGCTGGTTTTAACAAAAAAACATTGTTCAGGAGAAGGTCTAACAGAGAATGAACTTGGTAACAGAAGTCCAACTGTCCAAAAGAGCTGCTGATTATTCTCTATATCCTTTTTCAGTCTGCCTGTCACATTCATCACTCTTTGGTTTTACTCAGCCATGAAACAGGACACAGTTCAGTAAACAGGCAGGTCTGTTTGAGAGGATGATTGAGGCTGGTCCATCCTCCATCCAGGACATGTTTGGGTCTAGAATCCTGGATATGCCAGCTAATATCACCATTGACCAAACATGTCAGCGAGCCAATCTGCTGAGACATTTTGCTACAGGTTGGAGCCGCAGAGCCGTATTTGCAAAAAACAGCTGCACAAAAAGTATTTCTCCTTTTAGACAGTCTCTCATAATGAAAACCTTACAGCCTGAGTCGTCTGCTGTGAAATACACAAGCACATCTGCACCGCCATACCCTAACTTATTTTTCTATGTAAAACATGGCGGTTTAAACAAAACATATGCATCTTTAAAAGTTTATATATTAATGCTTAACATCTATAAGGTGTGAACATGAAACAGATATCATTACAATCTGTTTTACAAACAATCTTTGCCATTA